GAGAAAGGAGATCGTAGATGACGCAGAGCCTCTTCTTTGGCCATGGAGTAGCGGAGCATGAGAAGAAGCTATTGACTAGAACAATATAAATAGGGAGCAGTGTTGTAGAAGGAGGATCATCAATTTAACTCCGGAACAATTCCGGAGGCGGCAATTTCAGGCGGTGCAGAATCCTTGGCGGCAGAATTCCATTTGTGGTAGCGCTAATTCCATCTCCGCAGCAGCTCTCTATTCCCTTCCAGTAGTGAAAGTAACCCAATTTCATAGAGATTCAATTTGGCAACTTTGATTTCCGTATGACAGCATATTACTTTTCATTATTATCTTCAAATATTGTTTTTCCTTTTCTTTGATTTAATTAAGGTGCTTAATGTGTTTTAAGATTTAATAGCAATTCTTTATTAAGATTTTAATTTAGTTTTGGTGCTGCTAGTGTTTATTATAATTTGAGAATTTATAAATCTTGTTAAGATGTAGTGCATTTGCCCTGTAGTTCTGGTTATTATGTTTGGCTGAGCATTTTAATTCTTAGAACATGATCAATTTACTATGAAATTCTGCACTAGTTTTAATTTATCCTACGCTTTGTGTTGAGATTAATTGTGTTGAATTTGGCCAATTTAACTTTCATTACTTAGTTTCTTGGATTTAAATTTAATTATCTCGCACTTGAGTACATTCTTATTATTTGATCTTCATTTCTAGCACTTTAAATTGTTTAGTTAGTTATTTTAATTTCAAGTTATTAAATTGTCTTTCCGGTTAATGTTCATTGAGGTTATTCAATTACTCTTCATGCCGTTATTTTCTACTGGTAATTTAATTTAGTTAATCTATTCTGATTGTCAATTCTGTTTCCTTACTTTTGATTAGTATGTTTTCTAGTTTTTCTCATTCGATTTACTTTCACTCTCTTTCCACTCTTTTTAAGTAATTAAATTGCATTATATCAATTCCCTGTGGGATCGACCCTTGCTAAAAGCACGCTACAACTACAATTGACTCGTGCACTTGCGAGGACATTATATTAAATTTTTCTATCAGTAGGCCACTGCCCGCCATTTCGCCCGCGGGTACAACCTGTACTACAAAATAATCCCTTCGGGGGTTTTCAACACCAAGTCCAAATTCAAGTCCAAAACACCCAAAAGCTCACAAGATACAACAATATGACTTGAATCAAAGGAATAGCCAAGCAATGACATACAAGAAACCTAATAACAAGCTCTAGATATGCATTCTCACAAGACAATGTATCAAATCTCACATTTCATAGCAAAAATCACAAGTAGAAGTCAAGAAATCATCATATAGGTAAGAAAATAGATTTTGTAAAGAATGGGTTACCTCTTGTAGCCTACAACTTCACTTATCACACCCTTACAAGCTTCTAACAAGGCTCTCCTTCAACTTCAACTTCACAAACAGACCAAAAGACAACAAAGATTCTATGTTTAGAAAAAGACACCTTAAAAGGTACTAAAAACACTAAAGGACCAAAGATCTTACCTTCCTATATGCTCAAGATTAAGAAAGGTTGAATCTTGGAGACCAACTTGAAGAATCTTGAATTGCCCAAACTCTGCTTGAAGAAGAAGCTAGCTATTTACTAGAGAGAAGGAGGAGCTTTTCTTTTTAGGGTGTTAGGAAAAAGAATGAAAGATGACTCTAGGTTAGCTTGGAATACAATCATGAGGTGAAAAGTCTTCTTTACCCTTACTAAAGTGGAAAAGTGTAAGGAGACAAGGGAACAATTCACAAAGCTTAGAGTACAACCCATTGACTTGGATTGACTAGTCAATTTCTAGTCCTCGACTATTGAATTTTCAGGATTTTAGGAATGAATTATCAATTAAGCTAGGATTAATTATCTAACTAATCCTTAAATAGAATTTGGATTTACGGGGTGTCACATCCTCTCCCCCTTAAAATAAGCTTCGTCCCCGAAGCTTGGATACGACGAATTCAAACAAAACGGTAACACGAAACAACAATGTGACAAGATAATCATAAAAATCTTTTTGACTCAAAACGTCAAGATTTCAAAGAGACACAAAATGATCAAGAAGTCATGGCATGGTAAGGTTGAAAAGAAATAGCCAACGGAGTTCTTTGAGCATAACGAACATTACAGTCAAACATCACAACCAAGCTTTCTAACCAACACCAATGTCTAAACAACTAGCTCCTAGTAAAACAACCCACAAAGCTAACTACAAAAATGGTGAAACGAGGTACCTGAGGTGAACAACTCTGGGTAACACTCTCTCATAGCCGACTCCAACTCCCACGTAGCTTCCTCTACACCGTGATGTGACCACCAAACTTTTACCATCTTCACCGATTTCCTGCGGGTTTCCCGGGTTTTGAAATCCAAAATCCGAAGCGGACTTTCTTCGTAAGACATGCCATCATCTAGAGGGATCACTTCCGGTGGTATTATGTGCGTTGGATCATGCACATACTTCTTAAGCTGAGACACGTGGAAAACATTGTGCACCCGCTCCAACCCCATAGGTAACGCTAGCCGATAAGCCAAACTCCCTATTCTTTCAAGAATCTCATAAGGTCCAATGAACCTAGGACTTAGCTTGCCCTTCTTACCGAATCGCATAACTCCCCGGGTGGGAGAGACCTTTAGCCAAACCTTGTCCCCAACCGCAAACTCCACCTGTTTCCTTCCCAAATCGGCATATGATTTCTGACGGTCCTATGCCACTTTCATCCTTCCTTGGATGAGTTTAACTTTCTCCACGGTGTCATGCAAGTACTGTGGACCTAACACCACTGGATTGACCATATTCTCCCAACACAATAGGCTGCGACACTTTTGACCGTAAAGGGCCTCATACGGTGCCATACGAATACTTGAGTGGTAACTGTTGTTATAAGAGAACTTTATTAGATCCAGGTGATCCTCCCACGACCCTTGAAAATCCAGCATACATGCTCTCAACATGTCTTCAATTGTCTGAATGGTCCTTTCTGCCTGTCCGTCCGTGGCGGGGTGGAAAGCGGTACTAAGGCTCAACTTCGTCCCCATGGCCGCTTGTAAAGACTTCCAAAACTGTGTTAGGAACCTCGGATCTCGGTCGGAGACGATATCCCGTGGCACACCATGGTACTTCACCACTTGATTAACATAGGCTCGGGCTAACTGAGTCATTGTCCATGTTCCCTTCATTGCAATAAGTCGAGCAGTCTTGGTTAACCGATCCACCACTACACAAATCTTGTCCTTGCTGGTGCGGGTCACCGGTAAGCCTCCCACAAAATCCATGGAGATAGAGTCCCACTTTCCTTGCGGTACCTCCAATGGCTGTACCAAACCCTTAACTCTACAACGCTCCGCCTTGACCTTTTGACAGTTTAGGCATCGACCCACGAATTTCGCTATTTCTTTCTTCATATTGGGCCACTAAAAGAGGTTCTTCACATCCTTATATAACTTGTCACCCCCGGGGTGTACCGAATAGAGTGTGTTGTGGCCCTCTTCAAGAATCTGACGTTTCAACCGATCACACGATGCGGGTAAACACAAACGGCCCTTGTATCTCAATTCTCCGTCAAGAGATAGCTCAAAAGGTCCTACTCTTCCTTTAGCCAAGTCATCCCTCGTCCTCATCAAACTAATGTCTTTCAACTGCTCTTTCTTAATTTCTTCCTATAGAGTAGGCTCATTCCGTAGGTTGAAAAGACGAATCTCCGACTCCACTTCGCCTTGCTCCTCCACTTCCAAGTTCATCCTTTGAAGTTCTTTACAAAGCTCGTCAGCCACCACCCAAATAGAACTGACAGCGTGCTTGGACTTCCTGCTTAGGGCGTCAGCCACCACATTTGCTTTCCCTTCATGATATTGAATGTCCAGCTCATAATCTTTGATAAGTTCCTACCAACGTCTTTGACGCATGTTAAGGTCTTTCTGCATGAATATATACTTGAGACATTTGTGGTCTGTGTAGATCTTGCAACGTACTCCATATAGGTAGTGCCTCCAGATCTTCAAAGCGAAGACTACTGCCGCTAACTCCAGGTCGTGAGTCAGGTAATTCTCTTCGTGCACCTTGAGTTGTCTAGAAGCATAGGCAATCACTCTCCCATTCTGCATCAACATGCAACCCAGTCCCTTCTTGGATGCATCACTGTATACTTCAAACCCCTCTGTCCCAGATGGTAAAATTAACACAGGTGCGGTAGTGAGCCTTTCCTTTAATTCCTGGAAAGCTGACTCACAAGCTTGGTTCTATTGAAACGACACATCCTTCCTTAGCAACTTAGTTAAAGGTTGGGCCACTTTGGCAAAATCCAACACAAATCTTCGGTAATAACCAGCTAACCCCAAGAAACTCCTTACTTCTGCCACTGTCGTCGACACGACCCACTCTTTCACCGTCTGAATTTTATCAGGATCAACCGAGATACTGTTGCTGTCGATTACATGTCCCAAGAACGCCACACTATCCTTCCAAAATTCAAATTTCGAGAGCTTGGTGTACATTTGTTTTTCCCTTAAAGTCTGAAGTACTGTCCGGAGATGCCCTTCATGTTCTTCTCTATCCCGAGAGTAGACGAGTACGTCATCAATAAATACGATCACAAAGTTGTCAAGGTGAGGCTTGAATACCCGATTCATCAGATCCATGAACACTGCTGGTGCATTAGTCAATCCAAACGGCATCACCGTGAACTCGTAGTGTCCGTAGCGAGTTCTGAACGCAGTCTTAGGTATGTCCTTATCCGCCACCTTCAACTGATGATAGCCTGACCTTAGATCAATCTTGGAAAATACCCCTGCACCTCTGAGTTGGTCAAACAAGTCGTCGATCCTCGGTAGTGGATATTTGTTCTTGATCGTTACTTGGTTTAACTCGCGATAATCAATGCATAGTCTCATGCTCCCATCCTTCTTCTTTACGAAAAGCACAGGCGCTCCCTACGGTGATGCACTAGGTCAAATATACCCCTTGTCCAACAACTCTTGCAACTGAAACCTTCAATTCCTACATTTCTTTGGGCGCTAAACGGTAAGGAGCCTTCGATATAGGTGCCGTTCCAGGCACAAGATCTACCGAGAACTCGACTTCTCTAGGAGGAGGCATGCCCGGGATTTCCTCGGGAAATACATCAAGGAACTCGCACACCACAGGTATGGATTGAGCCGCATCTCCCTTTGCCTTCAAATCATCAACGGAACACAGATAGGCTTCGTGACCCTTCTCAATGTACTTCTTCATCCTTAACATCGATACCAACTTAACCCCGGACTCCACCGCTGTTCCTCGATAAGACACCCTCTTCCTGCTTGGTCCTCTAAGTACCACTTTCTGTTCACCACAAAGAATTCGAGCTTTGAACTGCCCCAGCCAATCCATGCCTAAGACTACATCTACACCGTCCAGGCCGAACTGGATCAGATTACTGGGGAACTCTTCTCCACCGATGACTATCTTAACATCTTTGAAGAGGCGGTCGCACGACTTGATTTCCCCGAAAGCCACCTTCACATTCAGCTTCACTTCAACGCCATCGGTTAAGCCTAGCATTACGAACGAGTTGGATGCACCGGAGTCGAATAGGATTACGGCTGGAAGCAACTGCAGCATAAAAGATCCGGTTACCACGTCGCCATCCCCAGCTTGAGCTTCGCTTAAGGCAAGAGTCTTCTCACGTGCCGGCTCTCCCCCAAACTTCCAATCGATATTTGCTCACGAGGCGACGGTATCGTAGCATCACTGGGGCTTACTCACGTAGACGTACCACTCCTGATCCATTGCCCAATGACACTGGGAGTGTTGCGAACTCCCGCTACCTTGGATATCTTAGCCACTTTGCTAGCATCGTCAAGCAATACCGCACGCTGGCGAGGCGGCGCTATGACAGAGCTTCTACAACAACAACAATGTTACGAAACAAAACAACAAGCAAGCAAACGAACTATAAACAACACACAGCTCACCACGCGTCCTAAGAGTCCTAAGTCCTAAACACTTAGATACTTCAGGTCATCTTAGAGTCTCAAACCACACTTAACTTCTTAAAAGTCTAGACTCTAGCATCTTAGGCTCAAACCTAGGCTCTGATACCAACTGTAACACCCCCGATTTTCATACCAATTTAAAGCTTAATAATGCAAGGAAAACTAACCAACATAACATAAAAACGTAAACACAGCGAAAGTCTAATCATAAAACAGAGAAAACCAAGGAGTGTTATGCCACGTTCACTCCAACGTGAACGCACAGGCAAAAACTAAAACCATCAATCTAATATGTTCAACATCAGTGGCACACAGGCCAAAACACAAACTAAACTCTTCAGGGGATCTAAACTATCCATATATAACGCTCTCGCCATCTACTCAGGACCAGTAAAGCACATAAAGAAATGGGACGATGCCCGGTCAGCGAATATTGCTGGTAACCCATCAATACGCGTTCAATAGCATAAGTAGATAGTATAATACAAAATCATTTTCGAAACGAAATACAGTATATATCAGTTCAAAACCATAAAGAGAGAAGTCAACTATAAAGACTCTATTTCACTCTCAAAAGAACGGGGAATCACATCCAAGACAACATCCAGACAAGAACGACAACAGAACAACTCAACACCGCTCAAGATGTAGTCTACTGATCACAAAGCAGAAAACATCACGGCAAGACAACAACAATGACAAGTACAACTCGAGGTGTATTCTACTGATCACAAAGTAGAATACCACTCGACATGCTCAATAGAAAAGGATAGACATCCGTACATTGGCACTACTTGCTACAGTGACACATCATGTCACAAGTTCCAACCTTATACCCTGTTCCGACCTTATTGCTACCCCCGGCCTTATTACAGTTCCAACCATTACCTCCGAGAACGCCTGTATTTCTGAGTCCAACCTTATGCCTCCGGGAACCGTCGTTCCCCCACCAACACCACCAACAATTCCACCAACACATAGTACACGAGGGTACCGTTCATTTCAATCACACAACCACCAACAAGTGAGCCTGAAGCCAATGAACTTGAAGCCCATAAAACGACTCCATAATATCATTTCATGGCCACCACGAGGACCACATCTGTACCTTGGTGATTAATGTCCCATACCATTAGTCTTGCAATCCAGGTACATCCAACACACACGTCATCATAGGAATCAATCAATGGATACAACAAAGATATGAAACCATACTCAATCAAGGAAGGATTACAATCCGACATCAACGATGATCAACAAAAGTTATCATCCACAATAGGAAAGAACAAACCACACACGCTAGGATTTCAACATCAAACTAGCATGCTTATCAAACGGGTAAACAAAACATAGTTCCGAAGAACATACAAGACTCATCAGGGTTCAACGAATCACAAGGTTGAACGCTTAGCACGATTCAAGACACCAAACCCTACATGGATTCCTACCATAACGTTCTAGACATACGAAACATCAAGAAGACACTCAAATAGCCCAACAAAAGAACATCGGGAAGTCAAAACATCAATTACCGAGTCAAAAGAATCACGGGGAACAAATCCCCAAATATCACCATTTTGTACCCCGCGGGTGGGGCCACGGGTGGACCTCCACCCGTGGTTCCGCCCGCCCATGGTTCCGCCCACGGGAACCACTTCACACGAGGCTTGTACCCCACGGGTGGGGCGGCGGGTAGGCCACTGCCCGCCATTCCGCCCGCGGGTACAACCTGTACAACAAAACAATCCCTTCTGGGATTTTCAACACCAAGTCCAAATTCAAGTCCAAAACACCCAAAAGCTCACAAGATACAATAATATGACTTGAATCAAAGGAATAACCAAGCAATGGCATACAAGAAACCTAATAACAAGCTCTAGATATGCATTCTCACAAGAGAATGCATCAAATCTCACATTTCATAGCAAAAATCACATGTAGAAGTTAAGAAATCATCATATAGGTAAGAAAATAGATTTTGTAAAGCATGGGTTACCTCTTGTAGCCTACAACTTCACTTATCACACCCTTACAAGCTTCTAACAAGGCTCTCCTTCAACTTCAACTTCACAAACACACCAAAAGACAACAAAGATTCTATCTTTAGAAAAAGACACCTTAAAAGGTACTAACAACACTAAAGGACCAAAGATCTTACCCTCCTATATGCTCAAGATTAAGAAAGGTCGAATCTTGGAGACCAACTTGAAGAATCTTGAATTGCCCATGTAACACCCCGTGTTACGGCCTTTAATCCCGAATTAATTATTTAATTAATCCCGTTAATAATAATTTAAAAGGATTTAATTTGGTTAGGATTCCCTTTAATTAATTAATATGGTCCACGATGGACCATGGACCCTTATCCCTAAACCAAGCCCTTAGTCCTATAAGGAATAGAATTAGTAAGCCCATAGCATTCAGACTCTAATTAGGACTCCTATATATATATATATATATATATATATATATATATATATATATATATATATATATATATATATATATATATATATATATAAGGACATAGGAGGCACCTAGAAGTCACACCACAATAGATATCACCACACAAGAATTCCCAAAGGACTCCCCACCACCAAGCCTAGGGAGATCAAACAGATGGAAATCTTAGGGAAGAACCTTAATAGCCAAGGGAGGATTAATTAAGGCTAAGAGGTAACCCATGTCTCAACAAGACCTATTTTCTTTGCTATAATCTCCTTCTTTGGCTCCCTCTATATGCTTGTGTCTTGATGAATTCCTTTATGATAATCGTGATATAATCTTATTTGATTGATGTGATGATTTTATGTGTGATCTTGATGATCTTGATATTAAAAAGAGGTTCTTGATATTTATGTGATGATTCTTGATAAATCTTGATGTTTCTTGATGTTAGAGATAATATATGATCCTGATAATTTGGATGGGAATTAGAGCCCTAGGTCGGATTGGGAATTTGTATTGTGACGCCATTGATTTATATTTGGGTGGGAATTCGCATGTTCGGGTGTTGTTTTGTTTAGAAGTCATGTTAGGATGTGTCCAATACGATTCTTGCTTTTGATCTGTTAATTGCCTATGTGGTGTCGTTATTTGCGTTTGAAAGTATCTAAGCATGGTTTAGGGTTCCACAAAGGATCCCGGGACACGTATTGGATGAAAGAGTCAGTGGAGGGTAGGTGGGGGTAGAGGGACCCGCCACCTACCCGCTGCCCGAGAATCACCGCCAGGCAGCGGGCAGCCGGCGGGCTGACGTCTGCCCGCCGGCCACCCGCTGCCCGGAGGATCGTCACCGGCGGGCAGCCGGCGGGTGACCCCCACCAACTGGCTACCCGCTGGTCTGTTACACACCTCAGGTCCTCGGCTTCCCCGTTCCCCGTGGTGTCCCAACGGACCCCGTTTGTCGTGCTTGAGTCTAGTTTGATATTTCGGGTGCCATTCGTAGGATAAAAGAGTCTTAAGAATTGCATGCTAGTGAATCGGTAACCCGTTGGCCTAGGAGGAAAATGCATGAACCCCTTAGGACTACTCTTAGTATGCGAATGATCACACGTAAGTTTATTTATAAGTCTCCCCCTTCCTAATATGCTATTATGTGCTACAATGTGTTATGTGATGCATGATTCCCCAATTTGGTTGCGATCAAATTGGCTGTTCCTGAGCTGCGGTCAGTGATTCACTTCTTGGGCTACAGCCCACGGGCCTCGTGTGCGGAGGGTCCACCGACTGGACGCGCCAGCGGTGTGTAGGGCCACCAGCCTGAGGAAGGCCATAGCCCACCGAATGATTGATCAGGCGGTGTGTAGGGCTATGGTCGACTATGATCCACCGAGTGAAGGGCCAGCGGTGTATAGGGTCGTAGTCTCCGAGGATCATCGCTCATCGACTGAGTCTCTCAGCGGTGTGTAGGGCTTGATTCGCTACGATCCACCGACTGTGCTCGTCAACGGTGTGTAGGGTCATAGTCCCCATAAGAGGATCGCAGTCCACCGACTGAGCGCGTCAGCGGTGTGTAGGGCTGTGATCCGCCGTCGAACTATCGGCGGTCTATACGGTTGGTTGCGATCAACCCCTTCATGCTGCGGTATGAGGTAGGGTGCTGCGGGGCCGTGTTAGTGCTATATGCACTAACCCTCATGTTCGGGGTATGCGATTGGTCCCGTGGCGCCACCAAAGTGTCTTGTGTGATATGAATGATGATTGAATGATGGTGTGAATGATTTGAAAGTGAACTGTGACCTTAAATACATGCTCTTTATGATACTATCTCTGTATAACTGATTATCCTTGTTTAATGTGCTTATCCCTATCTGTCGAGTCTATCCCTGGTTTTAAAGCTAGAGTCTCTTAAGTTTATATCTTCCTGCTTCAAAATGGTTTTCCTATAATCTATATATATATATATATATATATATATATAATCTATATATATATATATATATATATATATATATATATATATATATATATATATATATATATATATATATATATATCCATCTATATGTATTTCAACGCGTTGGATTGGGTTACCAGCATCATTCGCTGAACAGATATATTTGG